ACAGGACAAGCCCAGCCGCCGGGACGAGGGCTAGAGGCAAGCGCAGGCAAACACAGGCGTAAACAGGCAGGCAGGAGCAAATGATTTATGTCTTTACAGTTTATAAAAAGTCCTTTAACACGCAGTGGGGACAGTAGGAGCTTTTGTTATAGCATCTATTAGCAATATCCCAAAATTAAAACAAGATTATCCTGGTTTCAGAGACTGGAAAGCTGCCACGAAGAGGCACTGCAAATCTGCAACTCCAAGTAGTCACAGCAAAGGCAAAATTTGTGTTTTGGGAGTCGCTGACCCGGGGACCTCTGTTCAGACCACTGGGCGCTGGCTCGTTCTCCAGCAGGACAGCCAGGAAACATCTCCACTACAGCTCCACCCAGCTGAGGAGAAGGCACATCACTCCTGTGCCACCTCTCCAGGTGGTCCAATGCCCTCTCCCCTGTGCGGTGGGCAAAGAGGCAGCTCTGAAGTCGCCACCAATACTCCCGACTCATCGGAAAAAACAGCAGCTTTAATCACCTGCCCTCGGTGGCACCATGGCTGCAGAAAACAAACTTTCCTGGGTGCCGGAGGGTAACACGTACAACAGCGGCATCTTTGTGAAAACGTCTTTATCATCGCCCGTTTTATCCTTGCACGAAAACCAGCGTGCCTCGGGAACGTGTTTTACAGAGCAAAGCTTCCCCTCCGCCAGCAGAAAAGCTGGTGGGTGACAACAAGGTCCCCACTGCAAACAAGCCATTTATGACACTCTTCCGTGGAGTTTGGAGCCGAGATGAAGCAACCTTGTATCAGAAATAACCGTATAACCTGGAGCTTTATGGCTGCAGGCTGTATATCATCAGTGAAGGCAGTCCTCATAAACATGTGAAATGAAGGTGAATGGGTTATAAAAGTCCCTGTAACAAGTGATCTCTTTTACATTCATCAGAAGCAAAGAATTCCAGCTATATCATAAATCTAGTCTTTTTTCAAAGTATTGCATTGTCAAAAAAAAATATAAAAAAATCTGTGCCTAGCTCTGTGTCTGGCAGCCGAACAAGTTTACATGGAGAAGTCAGTTTTAGAGGATTGCATTAATCTTGTTCTGACTATAAAGCGCCCACAACCGAAATTACTAACTTAAGGGTACAATGCCCTTCCTCTTGAATCATTTACTGCTGGGCTGTTAGATGAAACTCGGTCACCTTTGATAGCGCAGAGCTGCCTACCGCTTGGGAAACCGATACAAGTATTTTGAGAATGAAGAATATTCCAGAGTAATGACCAAGTTTCTTGAATTTTATATGTTTGCGTTTCTTTAGCAGTAAGCTGTCGTCTTACAGCACAGCTCAGAAAGAACTCCAGATTAAATACGAATTTTGTAACTTTGAATCAGTAATCCATTATTAATTGCATAGCAAAAAAAAACCCACCAAAAACCAGTCAAACGTAATCTAGGCTGAAGTACATACATATACTTTTTAATCTTAAAAATTCAGATCTCATGAAAAAAGAACTTTTGACCTTGTTATTAAATACGTATGCACACAGCGTCCAAATTGTGCTCCTCAATTTTTTTTTACATGGATTGGGTAAAAAAAAAGCTGGTCTTAACACATATACTTCATTTTCTTTCTTTGCGAGTGAAATGCTGTCAGATGTTTCACTCTGTTAAATCTTTCTTTCGTATGCCGTCTGGTATAAATCTTCATATATTTTATTCCAATATCTTTTGCTCATTCCGGTATCTAAACAAACGGGACGGGGGGGGGGTTGACATGTTTTGAAGCTAAAATGACTTTTCTGCTGCAGGAATTTTATCAGAAACTTGGGGGCAATCTAAACATGTTTAGCATTTTCAAAACATTTTCCCTTCTCACCTACATATTTCCAACTGTATGAACACACAGTCATGGTTGATTTATAGTTATGGCCAAGGTACTGGGTAGGGATTGTTACGCAGAACTATTTGAGAGTTATTTTGCTGAGGTGTCAGGCTGAGATCAGGCTGCAGTCTGACTCAGTTTTAGTCTCCTTGCCCCTACCCTGCCTTCAAAAAAAAAAAAAAGAAAGGAAACAGAAATACTAGAGCAGGGTATCAGCTACTTGAAGCCTGCATTGGGCCAGGGTGTCACGGCCAGTCGAGCTCTGACACTTCAGACAGGCGGCAGATTTGGCCCGTCTGCTGCGTTTGTCCCCGGTAACGAGATAACACCTTGTGCCATGAAATTTAGTGGATGGCCAGCTAGAAAAAATGGGCACCCAGCGGTAATTAACCTCTGGTTTAAAGTTAAATTAAATCTTCAGCTTAAAGAAAGGTCTTTAAGCAGAGGTGGGGTTGGTTGGTGAGCACTTACTGTCTGCTCTGATCATCGCATGTGTGGTTTTTGGTTACCCCCTGCCGTAAGGGCATTCAATTCAAACGGTTGTGAAATAAAGAACGGGATGTGCTAGGAAAACAGGCACGCAGCGAAGCAGCTGGCGTGATTGAAAGGGGCTTGAAAAGTTGATGGGTTTGATAGACTGTCTCCATACACAAGGGTCCAAACATCAGCTTGGATTATACGGACGTGATTTATTGTGGCTCGTTCACCCCCAGCCATTACTGAAGAGCGTATTCTTTCTCTCTGCTGACCTCCACCCAGATTTGCTAAACATAATGTGCAGTTCCCACTTGTTAAATTTTCTCCTTGCCTATTCAGTGCCAGCCTGAGTTATAAACAGGGGTTCTGGTTTGTACTATTTATTTATCCCCCTCTAGTTTAGGAGTATATTTTTAGAAAAATTGCCGCTCTTTTCTTAGGAGTAAAAAACAAAGGCTATTATCATTGTTTAAACAATTGGTTTTCTTTGAATTATATACAAAACTTGCTTACATTCCCAAGGATCGAGCTCTCAGCAAACAAAGCAGGTCTGGAGAAATTCCTAGCCCTCTGAACAAACACTTTCTAACCTTGATTTTTATTATTTTTATCTGGTGGAAACATTCGACATCAACAGCACAAATTTCTTCCAAGTCACCAATGCCCCCTCACCAAGGAGGTCCATCATCTCAAAAAAAAACAGGCTGGCCTGTGCCCGCTGTGCGGCTCACCCAGGGCGGAGGCTGATTTCGCCAGCAAGGGGCCCAGAGGTGGGCCCGAAGCAGCACCCAAAG